AGAAAAAGAGGAAGACCCCAACGAGATGGATTGGCCAGGTGGCATCATTGATGGACTCAAGTGTGGCAGCGGTAGTGAGGTTGGCCCAGGATCGGACGTTGTTTTGTTCTGCTGTGCATGAGGTCACTATGAGTCGGTTCCGACTCGATGGCACCTGACAACAACAACAATATGACATGGAGTCGGTACTGACTCATAGAGACCCAGCACTGGGTTTCTGAGGGTGTAAATCTATGGAAGCAGAAAGCCTCATCTGTCTCACAAGGAAAGGCTGGTAGTTTCGAACTGCTGAGCCTCAGGGTGATCTGAAGCCCGATTCATAACCGCTACCGCACCAGAGCTTCTTATGTAAGACCCTGTATAGGGTTTATGAGGAGCAGCTGGTGAGCTTGAACCGCCAACTTTGCAGTTCAAAGAGCTTTTCAGTCTGGCGAATTAACACACAGCACCACACCAGGACGACTCTGTATATATATATATGTTTTTATGTGTTCTGGATTCGGTTCCGACCCAGAGACCCTATACAGGATTTCCGAGGCTGTAAAAATTCACGGGAGCACAAAGCATCATCTTTCTATCATGGCAGAGCTGGTAGTTTTTGACCGCAGACGGTGACATTCGCAGCCCGATTCATAATCAGTATGCTAATAGAGCTCCATACGTACATATACATATACATATATATTCATAGTCTTGCTGTGTGGCTGTGGTTTACTGTGCTAGGCTGCAAAGCCGTTTGAACTGTACGGTTGGTAGTTCAAGCTCACCAACTGCTCCTAGGAATCCAAATATACAGTAGGTACATGAGGAGCGCTGTTAGGCACTGGATTTATAAGGAGCTCTGGTAATGTAGTTGTTAAGAATCTGGATGAAACCTTACAGTCAGCAGTTCGAATCCACCAGTCACTCATTGGGAGAGATATGAGGCTTTCTGCTCCCATAAAGATTTACAGCCTCAGAAACCCTGTACAGGGCCACTATGGGTCGCACATGATTCCATGGCACAAAACAATAACAACAGGGTTTCCAAGGAGCAACTAGTGAACTTGAACCGCCAACCTTGCAGTTAAGATGGCTTTGGAGTCTGGCCAAATAACCCACAGCCCCACACCAGGACTCCTAATCTCACTCTCGCTCAGACGCTCGCTCAGACGCTCGCTCAGACGCTCGCTCAGACGCTCGCTCAGACGCTCGCTCAGACGCTCGCTCA